AATCGGAAACAACAGTTAGGACGACTATAATATTGACCAATAGAATTAGACTTCCAAAAATAGTTCTCTTAAGATATTTGATCAATATCCTAACAGAAATGAAACTGATTAAAACTCATGCAAGATAACGTTGATGTACTCAGTTAAATGCGAAATAAAACTATGTATTTCATATTCTCTGTGTAAATATCTCAATTGATAACGGTGACAAAACATTTAAATGCTAAATAGATTTGATATGCTTGAATGCTATTACGAGTTCAGTTTACTTAAACGATGATCAACGATCCAGTGATACGACAGACTATTCTAATCCGTTTGTCTTAGCATCGGATAACTAGATCAAGTAGTTTTAATAGAGCGTAAGAAGTGTATTCTACAAGCAACCAGAAAATACCAGGTGTCTAAGCACACAAATCAAGCTTATTTATACAATGAAAGCAACGCCCTTGAGAGAGCCACAAAATCGAGTACTGAAATAATCCATTAACCAATCACAGTCAAGGATTTTCCGAGTGGAAAATGTTAGCTGAAGGTCAACTGAGCACATTACACGCAAAAACATAAAAATTCAAGATTTCAGAAATAAATTACAACATTAGGACATTTTCCGAGTAATCGATTCTGGGTATCAAATGTCTCCAACAAGATTACACTGTAAAACTGAATTGGAATAATGATATGCATTCATAATATCAGTATTTAAATTTTCAGTAAAGAATTGTGTAGAGTTACTTTTTGAAATCATAAATCGATCATTGTTAGATCATCATTAGAAACTCATAAGTACTTGATGTCTGTTTCGTTCTGGTCTGAGACTCGTCAGTGGTTGAGCGCATCCACGATCCCAGTTACTCACAGGATATAAACCTATGATCTTGGGTCTTATGCGTGAATGCTTATCTTTTGAATAGCCGAGCTGACACGCATCGGTATTAATGTTTTACATTTATCAATCCTATCAAGAAATTTTCAGAGTTCAAGTGGGGAGCCGTCATTAGTGGAGTCCAATCCTGTTAGGTGTAGGCAGTTACTTACCGAAAACATTGGATGAGGTCGCTCAGTAACATAGATTGAAAGAAATTAGACATAACTCTGTAAGATACCGGCTCAGTGGTGTAGAGGTTATGCGTTCGCACACGAGGCCGAACCTCCTGAGTTCGATTCCCGCCTGCAGGAATCATGGATGCGCACTGTGGATGAGTCACATTTGAGGACGAAACAACTTTTCAATGCTTGCAGGTTTATAATGATGGTCTGACATAGCTTGATACATAGTTTCAATAATAGACAATAACTTTTATACTTATTTAATGCACAAAAACTTTGTTAATTACCTAAATAATAAATGAAATATGTGTTTTTCAATAGGTTTTTTTGTATTTTGATGAAAAATTAAAATCTTATCATCATTCAATGATCATTTTTTTCAATTTTTTTCAATTTCAATTCATTTTATGAAAAGTTCAACTAACTAACTATTTAAATATAAACAAAAGTTATATTGACTATCTTTTTTGTTTGTTTGAAAACAAAGGTCATTCAAAATTGAACACAATGGAGTTTGTAATTTAGGACAATGTCATGAATTACGAACTAGATTTTTGTTTGTTTATAAACTTTTGAAAATCAAGATCTCTTAAGAATTACTGATTAGTGTTGAAACGGTTTAGGTTATACATTAAAAATAAATTGTATTCACCATATGAGAATGATATACTTGAAAACATTTGATTAGAAATGAAGTCACACATCAGTAGTGACACTATGCCAATAAATACTTACTTACTTATTTAAGTCTGTTACCCCACATTGGAACATAGGCCGCCGACTAGTGTTCTCCAACAGACTCTGTCCTGAGCTTACCTTATCAGTTCTGTCCAGTTTATGTTCATTTTTCTTATTTCCTTCTCTATTTATCGGCATAATGTGTTCCTTGGCCTTCGTCGTTTCCTTTTACCTTGAGGGTTCGAAGAAAGGGCTTGTCTTGTGACTCATTTCGGTGCTTTTCGTAGTGTGTGTCCTATCCACTTCCACCGCTTCTTCCTGATTTCCTCCTCCACTGGAATCTGGTTTGTTTTCTCCCACAGTAGGTTGTTGCTGATGGGGTTTGGCCAACGAATACGAAGTATTTTGCGTAGACAACTGTCAATAAACACTTGTATCTTGTGGATGATGGCTTTGGTAGTTCTCCAAGATTCCGCTCCATACAGTAGAACTGTCTTGACATTTGTATTGAAGATTCTGATTTTGGTGTTGTTTGATAGCTGTTTGGAGTTCCAGATGTTTTTCGAATGTAGAAATGCAACCCTTGCTTTGCTGATCTGCGCCCTCACATCTTCATCGGATTCACCTTGGTTGTCGTTGATGCTGCCCAGATATGTAACGGTGTTAACGTCTTCCAAAGCGTGTCCATCAACAGAACAGAATACTCCAGCTAAATCTGCCCTGGGTTCTTTTTCCCAGTTGCTCTAAATTATCTGTCTCTGACTCTCGCGCAATTTGTCATTTGGTCTTCTTCTTTCCTCTTAACCTTGTGCTTGTCTCATGAAGTAGCTGTTTGATTTCTACAATGTTTTTCCTATACACTTCCAGCGCTTTTTCCACCTTTCTTGCTCAGCCGAAAACTGGTCTGTCTCTCCCACAGTAGATTGTTGATGATAGTGTTTGGCCAACAGATTCACAGTGTCTTGCGTAGAAAACTAGAAAAAAAGTTCACTAGATATGTTATATAGCAATAATAATATTTTATTTATTAAGGATTTAATAAATATTCACTGTTAAGGAGAAAATATCTGAATAAACCTAGTGAAAGTTTACTGATTATAATTTTAAGTCAAAATGATTATAACACTACAGAAACCTAGATAACAGTCAAGAAAAACTCGTACTTACTTACTTACGTCTTTCTAACCCCCACTGGAGCATAGTCTGACGATAAGCATGCACCAACCTATTCTGTCCTGGGCCTTCTTTTCTAGTTCTATACAATTTTTGTTCATTTTTCTCATGTCTGTTTCCGATCCTCAGCGTAATGTTTTCTTTGGTCTTCTTCTGAGCCTTTAACCTCAAGGATTCCAAGGGAGAACTTCCCCGTTTTTTTAGAGAGTTAGTTTACTATGGGCTAGGATCACTAACCCCATGCCCGACCCTTCTTCTTTATTGGGGCTTGAGACTAGCAGTAGCCCCAGAGGGACTCCAGGAGGAGTTAACAAAGACATTCACAAATTATTAAAATCTTACAAAAGAATAGACTCATTGAAATTAAAATAATTGGTACTCAGAAAATCCAAGGGGCTATAAAGAACAACACCTGAAATGATCCAAAACAAGGAGTAAGCTTGATTCTTATCACCTGTTCACAGAGAATCAATACCCTTACAAGTGAAATTGTTCACAAAAATCGATACATATCATGACGATGGCAAGCAGACTTAAAATAAAGTTAAGATGATCGAACTAAAGTTTCAAACAATTAACCTTGATACAAGATGAAGCATTGAAAATCAATGACTTTATCGAGTAGAATTTATTCCCGAGATGTTTATATACTACTGATTTATTAGACTGTTCTGTCAAGAAACACCTTTTTTTTAAATTCATATATGAATTTTTAGTAAGCAAAAGAGAAGTTTAGATCATTCAGTGTATAAGTGGATATCATCAATTTGGTGATCAAAACCGCTTGTTGTACGAATGTTACACATATTCTTAGGATTTCTTTCAGCAATCGAACAATCTAGAAAATTGTTCGGTTCATTTTGAAAAACCGCGATAAGTTAGATATTTATTTTTAACTTGACGGCAGAGTATTCTAAATAGTAAGTGGTTGCTGTTAGATTTTGAGGTCTTACGTCTGATAAACTGATTGGCCAGTGGATGCGTACTGTTCAGCTGTTTTAAAGTTTCTGTTATGCTCGTCACTTGATATCATTGAAACTATTACGGGTTTACCTTAGTAGATAAACGAGAACGAGACAACGAACCAGTGACACGGTAGGCTACTCTGATCCGTTGACCCATAGGAACTAACGCAAAAGTCTTGATATAGCGTATAAAGTGTATTCTACAAACACCCAGCAAACGCAATGAATTAAAGCACACAAATCGTGTTTATTTATACATCACAGTAACGTCTTTGGGAAAATAACAAGAATAGCGTACTAAAATAACACATCAACCAATCACAGCCTGAAGCTTTTCCTGGTGGGAAATGAAATCTCAAGGTCAACTGATCAGCCCATGAATAACATCCGAAATTAAGACATTTATCCAACGAGTTCTGGGAATCTAACTGATATGTTCGTCACTAAGTATGCTTGAGGCTATTACGAGTTTACCTTAGTCGATAAACGCGAACAAGACTTTTACCAGCGTCCAGGTAGGCTACCTTGAATCCGAGGCTGAAGTAAAAAGGCTTTGTAAGCGTAGAAAGTATATCCTACAAACACCCAGCAATCACAGTACAATCAAGCATACAACTCTGGTTTATTTATACATCATAGAAACGTCCTTGAGACAGTTAAGAAAATAGCACACTAAAATACACAGCAGTAAATCACAGCCATGGATTTTCCTGGTGGGAATTGAAATCTCAAGGTTAACTGATCAGCCCATGCTGGCAAACGTGAAAACCAAAATAAGGCATTTATCAAGCGAATTTCGGGGATCTAACATCCCCAACAGTTTCCTAGCTTTTATAGGGACAAATCATAAAGTCAGTTATAAGAATGTTATTATCATTCAATGTTCAAGATAGTTACATTGTAGATATATAAATTTATTCAATTTCCAATTTTTTTCATACAATTCATTTTTAGACATTCTCTAATTTAAACAAAAATATAAATTGAACAAAATATGTTCAAAGTTCAATGTAATCAAAATGATCAATATGTATATATATTTTACTGAAAATGTTGTTAAACAATTATTCGTCCACTTTCTACACTTGAATATTACATCTTGAAATAATCTATTATATCATTTAAATTAAATCAATGGTTGGTGTAGTTATTGCTGCTCAAACTAATACTCATAATAATAGTAATCATCAAAGTACAAAACAAGAAATCGATACTGTACTGAACAATTCAAATCCATGTTTATCTATGACCAATGTATCTGGTCAACAACATTTAACAAATGATCAAGAGAGTCCATTATTAATTGATGATGATAACAGTAACAACAACGATAATGTCTTGACAAAAGAGAATCATTCAGAATGCCTTATTGATCGTTTATTTAAACAAAAACAATTGATATTAGAACGTTTAACAGAAGAATTACATAAATATGAACAATTATGTTGGGATGAAATGGTAAGAGAATATGAAGAAGGGGAGTTCTGTGTTTAAATGATCAATGTGCCAATGTTTATGTGTTTTATTAAAATGAGATAATTTGCGTTATTATTATTATTATTTCTTTTTATTTATAAATTTTCTGTTATACTCGTCTCTTGAGTTCACCTTAGTTGAATAATGAGAACAAAACAAGGAACTATCGTCCAGGTGTGGTGTGAGCTACTTATAAGTAGTATATGACGTGAGTAAAAACGTAATGTCTGGCAACAGAAGATGGGGGAAGATCAAGAAAGGAAGAGTGGGAACACAATGGAATTTGTATGAAACGCATGAATAGTGACAATGGATTGATGTTTTGCAACAGGAACAGTCCAGTTCGATATGATGAACTGATATTTTGCGAATGAACGATTTACGATATGGTTTTCTTATTTTACTGAGTAACTCTGTGATTTCGCTAAATACAATTCGGTTGCCCCACCTGTGTTCTCGTTCACTACACAGGTAGGCTACTGTGATCATTTGACCAAATTGAATCAACAAGAAGTCTTGATATAGAGTAGAAATTGTATTCTACAAACACCCAGCCAGCACATACAATGAATCCAAGCACTCAAATTGTGTTTATTTATACTCTATAGAGACGTCTTTGGGACAGTCACAAAAATAGCACACTAAAATGACACAGTAACCACCAATCACAGCCAAGGGTTCTCCTGGTGAGAAATGTGATCTCAAGGTCAACTGATCGGTCCATGAAATAAATCGAAAATAAAGATATTAATTAAGCGAGTTCTGGGGATTTAACATCCCCAACATTTTCGCCTTAAATTTATGATGCGATTTGAAATGACATTCAAGAAGCTTTTTTATAGAATTAGTAGTCATTATGAAGTTATGATATGTTAAGTATAAATGTAGTCTGATCAAAATTGATTATTGTTAACATTTTCGGTATGAAATCATGAATGAATCATTGTTAGACCAACATTAGGAACCCACAAGTGCGGATTCACGACACCTACTGTAGTGAAAGAGAACACAGGTAAGGGCAACCGAATCGTATTTATCTCAAATTACAGAGTTAATCAGTAAAATAGGAAAACCATATCGTAAATGGTTAATTTGCAAAATATCAATCCATCATATCGAACTGGACTGTTCCTGTTGCAAAACATCAATCCATTGTCTGACATTTCACTGTTCATGCGTTTCATACAAATTCCATTGTGTTCTAACTCTTCTTACTTTCGTGATCTTCCCTCATCTTCTGCTGTCAGACATTACATTTTTACTCGCGTCATAAACTACTTATAAGTAGCGCGCACCACACTACTACTTGTTGGATTCGAACCCAAGACTTTTGGTCTTGCGCGCGAACACCTAACTTCTGGACCAGTGGGTCGATGTCTAATGATTTTATTTTCTAACTGTGGGTCTCATCAGCGTGATGATATCAATGAAACTCAATAATCTTCACAACTGTATAATGAAAAATAACGGATCCCATGTAAAGTGATCAACATTTTCTTTAAAGTTTCTTTTAAATGGTAAATCACTAATTTCACGGCTACATGTACAAGGATTAGATCAAGAAACATATAGCTTAGTTATAACAAATGACTGCTCAATTATTTATTGTTTTTAGGGTTATAACCCATTTAAAACTCGTGTGAAGTCCAGCCAGATTCAATATATGTATATAAATATGTTACGTGGTCGATTGGATCACAAGTACGTAAACATCTGAGGGAAATCACGGAATTTAATGTACAGCTCAAATGCAGCTGGACAATCTAGACCTCGCAGGTAGTCTGGCTCTTCTATAGCACAGGCAACAACAAATACAAGAGAAGACGACCAGTGTAGAAGTAGCCTAAGCAGCAGCAAGTCTCAATATACATAAGGGAAAAAGCAAGAACGTCCAATATAACACAACAAGCAGCAACCAAATCACACTTGATGGACAAGGCATTGGAGGATATAGAAAACGTTGCATAATCTTGGAATCGCCATTGACAAACTATGTGGAACTGATGCGGCTATAAAGGCAGGGATAAGCAAATCAAGGTCAGTATTTCCAAATTTGGAGAACATCGGGAACTCAAAACAACTATCGTATAATTATCAGTTGTTTACGCAAGATACTGAAGATTCATTGGCTCTAGTCACCATCAACAATAACCTACTGTGGAAGAGAACGAACCAGATTGCAACAGAGGAAACAATTAGGAAAAAAAAACGCTGGAAGAGGATAAGCCATACATTGAAGAAAGCACCCAACTGCGTCACGAAACCAGCTCTAACTTGGAATCTTCAAGGTCAGAGGAAAGATTATTACTGTAGGAATGAAGCTATTTGTTAAGTAAGTTAATAAAGGGGGAGTACTTAACGAAGTTAGTTGTAAGCAAACTCAAACTTATGTGAGATGCTATAATAGCCCTCCCTTTCAAACGAACATACAAAACAGTATCTCATATCTGTCAATTTATTCCTCTCAGGTTTTAAATAATAGATAGTACCATGGGGGTACTGTAATAGCCGGAGCACGCTTTATGGACATCGCTCTGGCATAGCACCAGACTTGATGTGCCTAGACACCAAGGGAAATACGTAGGCTACGCACAACCACATTTATATTCAATTCAATTAACCTTTGCTAGATGGACGGGGGACAGACTTAAAGGCGTTCGGTTTGAATTCTCCAGATTGGCATCTTCTCATGTACCGCTTCACGACTGTGGACACGTACCATTATTCAAGACCATGCTGAACATGATATCCATAGCAACCGGATACGACATATAGCCATAGCGCTGTAAACAGCGTCATGTTGTCTAGCGAAACCATGAAGAGGTAGATGTAGCCGTCACAAAACTCCATTCATTTAGATGACGTGGCATTTGGTTAGTTCCTGGTTAACCAACATGCCTAGAGCATATGCATGTTGTTGCTCTTACAAAACACAAGGATTCACACGGCTGCCGAAATATGATCACTCTTGCCCAGAGGTAATTTACATGTTGTCCAGTTTTTCATGCAGGCCAGTCGCACATCCTGTCAGTGTATGCATGAACAGTCACTCCCTGAACGGGTGCTTATGAACCAATTCGATTCCTGCAACCATGCCAACAACCCACAATCCTCAATTGACAAGGTTAGCAACGCGAGTAAACCAAGCTAGACCTGGCACCCTGTGCTAGTTACAGATCCTTCCACAGTGCCCTAACAAGCAGCCATTTCAACCAACTGATCTCCAGCTCCCTCTTGCACAGGAAAATCGACCGGAGATCTTCGAACCCCATACAATGCCAAGGATTGATTATCTTGCAAGGTCAGCCAGTACGTGCACTTTCCCATGGGGTCGATGCCATGTACTCGACCGAGCGCAAGCACATTCAAGTTGGGCTGACTCCACCACAATAGGGTGGGCAGACATTATATGCAACCAAACTCCAGTCCAGCACAGGGTCTCATCCATCCAACTGGACAGCCTTGTTTAAAGGGCCTCGATGCCAGTCGACATACTACACTGAAGTACAGAGTGTTTTGAGCAACCTTATAGGGTCGATCGTCCGTAGTCCAGGATCTGTACGGCTTCTTCCTTAAACAAATCGTCCAGGGCCGCTTTAAGAAAGCTGGAAGACTACACGCCTTTTACAATAATCGCTACTACCGTAATGATAGAGGACAAGTTCTCAAACCATTATTTCGATTTACCTACTCCAGATAAACGGAGTCAGGCTTGAAGGCGTTTGGTCTGAACTCCTCCAGAGAGGCGAATTCGCATGCTGCGCACGACATCCTTAGCGATTGAAACGACATCCGACCGCAGCGCAGGAAACTACGCCTCACTTAATAACGGGACCACGAAGAGGTAGTCTCCACCACAACAACCTCCAGGAGGCTCCATTTATTCCACGTATTAGTCAATTAAATGACCAGGCATTTGGCTACCTTAAGGCAATCATAGTTACTCGCACTAAGTGTGAACATTTAAAATTTCAAAAATTTCCCAGAATGAAATTATCATTAAGCAACCTTTTTCAATCGTTTGATCATTTCTGTCTAATATTTTATACAAATATATTTTGAATAGAGAAATGAGAAGACATATTTTGTGAGATAGTAGTACCATTTCGTGCTTTCTCGTCAGTCACATACATACAAGCAACATGTTATTTGTGTAAATACAGCAGTTTTGAAGATAAGGTCAAAATTTCTTATTTAGCATGACATTCTTCACTCACTAGAACCATGGTAAGTAAACAAAGGTCAACATACAGTTGTTTTTGAACACATAAAGTTGGACTTTTCAGACCAATCAAGATAGCTTCGAGTAGTTTCAGTGTGTGTGGGTTTTGATGACATGTTACAACTCTGAAGGCTGATTTTGGGTCAATTTGATGATCACTCATCATTAGATGTTTGCAATGGACGAGGCTGGATTTCTTGATCGATTTTGAGATGATGGGCTAGGTTGATGAATCATGGATTTGATTAACCATTTTGGAATATGTTCCCCCCTATCCTGTGCTCCAATCGGCGATCTGTCCTACCTAAGTAACATTCTCCACAGTTACATGTGAATTGGTGTAAATACAGTGGGATTTGGACTGAATCAGTCTTGGAGACTTGATTGGGGTAACTGAGATCGATTGAGTTGTTGTGATAAGCCTCAGATTAGCTGCATTGTAGGTCTTTTTTATTGCAGCTGCAGTCTGTTTGGTTGTAATTTTCATGCAATGATCACCTTTGAAAGGTAACTGTAGGTACACTGGTTTCTTGGGCACATCAGTTGCTATCAGCTTCGTTGTAGTTGTGTTCTGATAACAAATATAGTTATTTTTTAGATAACTAACTACACAAAATAGGCAAAAACTAATGTGTGTGTGTGTATATATATCTTGACAGACAAGCATGTGTTTTTAATTTATCACAAAAACACAAATATAACTAGCTAATCAATAATTCAGACTATGTGTTTCTTTTTGGTATTATCCTTCAACATTTACTACTCTAGTTTTCATCGCATTAAAACAAATCATTTTTTTTAAATGATAAATATATTTTGATAAATATTCTTGTTTTGTTTTTAAAAAGAAATTATATTATTATCATGTGTCTATATCATATTACAAATGAACTATGAGAAACTAATGACATAGGTATATAAAACTTACTTACTTACTTACTTACGCCTGTTACCCCCAATGGAGCATAGGCCACCACCGACCAATTTTCTCCAACCAACTCTGTCCTGGGCTTCCTTCTCTAGTTCTGTCCAATGTTTGTTCATTCCTCTCATATCTTTCTCAAATTTCTCGGTGTAATGTGTTCCTTGACCTTCGTATTTTCCTTTTGCTTCGAGGGTTCCATGTGCGGGCTTGTCTCGTGACGCAGTTAGGTGCTTTTCGCAGTGTGTGTCCTATCCACCAACTCCACCACTTCTTCTTGATTTCCTCCTCCATTGCAATCTGGTTTGTTCTCTCCCACAGTACGTTGTTGCTGATAGTGTGTCTGGCCAACGAATCCGAAGTATTTTGCGTAGACAACTGTTCCTAAATACTTGTATCTTCTGGATGATGCCTTTCGTAGTTCTCCAAGTTTCCGCTCCATACAGTAGTAGAACTGTCTTGACATTTGTATTGAAAATCCTGATTTTGGTGTTGATTGAAAGTTGTTTGGAGTTCCAGATATAAAACTATTTTAGACAAAAAAACAACGTATTCCTTTCTGACTCCTAATTTTTTTCACAATAAAGTTTTGATGTCAGAGACTGGATACATATATGCATTCTTGGTGTAGATTATCTCTATGTTGTTATTTTCTGGGTGATAGATTTTAATGAAACTTGAACAAGAACGAATCTTTTATCCAAGACCTAGCATTTGGAATTACCTGTACCACAATTTTCATGCTTATATCTGTTACTCATGCGCATCAACACGTCAATTCGATATGCTTGAACTATTACGAGTTTACCTTAGTCGGAAAACGAAAGCAAGGATCGACGATCCAGCGACACGACCGCTACTCTAATCCGATTGTCTCAATCACCCTCATTGAGTAAAACAAGAAGACTTAATATGAAGTAGAACATGTATTCTAAAAACATTCAGAAGTAAAATGTCCGAGTCTAGAAGAGGCTAAGGATCCGGGTTCGGGTCAAAAAAAACGTTACAGATACTGTCAAGTCGAATAGGAACCAACATTGAAGTATGTGACATTGACCATTAGGTTGACCAATAGATTTAGACTTACAAAAGTACTTCTCTTAGGATTTTTGGATGAATATCCTAACAATATCGAAACTTAATCCTAATAACCTATTATTTTAAACAATAACGCTTAATCTACTAACCTAATGAGTAGAGTAGTAAGTTTCTTTTAAGATTGTAGATATACCTTTATGGTGAGTTCTAATCAGTAGAATTCGATTTTAAATACAGGCTGTATGAAATATTATTGGTAAATATCACGATAACTCATAATTGCAGAACTACTGCATTTACAAGGAACATATCCTTGTTAAAAAAATCACCTTGAAACATAGACTATGAACGGATATGTTATGGTCTCTATTGATATAAAAAAATATTGAATTCCTGTAATTAGTTATAATGAGTTTAACTGATAGTTTAGCTGAGATATTTCTAGCAAAATTCGAATCAGCATTAGGATAGAATTAGCTTTTTCAAACTTTTCATAAAGAAAGAAGTAGTTGACGATAGATTATAAGATAGCCTTATGTTAGGATATCCTATAATAATTATTTGTAAGTCTAATTCTATTGGTCAATTCGTATTGGTCGTCTTAACTGTCAATGTCACAGACTTCAATGTTGGTTCCTATTCGACCTAACTGTATTATCTGTAAAATTTAATGACCCGGACCCGGATCCTTAACCTCTTCTGGACTTGGACCTCGTACTTTCTGGATGTTTGTAGAACACACGTTCTACTTCATACCAAGTCTTCTTGTTCTACTCAATGAGGGCTTGAAACAGTCGGATTAGAGTAGTGTGTCGTGTTACCGGATCCTCGATCCTCGCTCTCGTTTTCCAACTAAGGTAAACGCGTAATAGTTTAAGGATATCGAATTGACGTGTTTAAGTGCATGCGAAACACCTTATCATTCGAAAGTTTACCTTACATACTTGTACCTGTTCCCCACAATGGAGCAAAGGCCGCTGACCAGTATTCTCCAACCTGCTCTATCTTGGGCCTTCCTTTCAAGTTCCACCCGATTGGTGTTCGTTCTTTTCATGGCTGTCTTTAATTCTCAGCGTAATATGTTATTTAGTCTTCCTCTCCTCGTTTCGCCTTGAGGATTCCAAGTTAGGGTTTGTCTTGTGATTCTATTGAGTGCTTTCCTAAATGTATGTTCTATCCACATCCAGCGCTTTTTCCTGATTTCTTTATCTGCTAGAATCTGGTTTGTTCTCTCCCACAGTAGGTTGATGCTGACAGTAACTGGCTAATGGATCCGCAGTATCTTGTGTAAAAGACTGTTAATAAACAGTTGAGTATTATGGATGATGGTCTTCATAATTCTCCAAGTTTCCACTCCATACCATGGAGCTGTCTTGACATTTGTAGTGAATATTGTGACTTTGATGTTGATTGATAGCTGTTTTGAGTTGTAGATGTTCTTCAATTGTAGAAATGCTGTCCTTGATTTGCTAATTCCTACCCCTACATCAGATCTAATTCGCATATCAATCAATGATGCTGACAAGCCATGTAAAGGTTCTCACGTCCTCTAAAGCTTCTCTGTCATGTGTGATTTGGTTGATGCATGTTGTATTGTGTCATAGGATCTTGCTTTTTCTCTTGTGTATGCTGAGACTTACACGAAATTCGCCCCTTATTAACTAAACATGATGAAGCTCTGGTTTTAATTAGGAACATGATGAAAGCTAAGTTCCTATAAATGAGAACAGACCTATAGTTTGAAGTTTATGTACTAAGAGACAAATTCTTTGAAAATTATTCCAGTGTTTTTTAGTAAAAGTATGAGAACTACAGAAAAGGTAATACTTGAATCACTACTTACTTTCCTTGTGGTAAGTGGGACAGTCCACAAGTATCTTCTTTTAGTCAAAGGAGTTCTTTGTTCATTAAAATGAGCTCATCTAAACTTGCCCCATCCTTATTTAGCTTATATGTGTTACGTATGCTTAACCACACTGACTGCCGCGACGACGTGGTGTAGAAGTAGGTTGGAAGAAAGCTAGGTGAGGCCAGACCAAAACATGGCACAAATCCATGAAGTCAGTAACAAGTGGACTGAGTCATGTTGATAAGGTTAGCTTACCACCTACTTCGATTTGGGTACATCAGTAATAACCTAACCGATTTGTAAATGTTTGTACATCCTATACACTTTTCAACGCTTACTGGTACCTGATTTTATATCAGTCAGTCAGATGCAACGTAGAACTTCGTACATAAGTACATCAGTTCATGTTGCCATACCACATCAGCACACAGAGATGTAATTGTCAATTCAAATCCAATAGCAGAAGAGGTAGTAGAGGTATTAGGAGTAATCAGAGAGGTTAGGATTAGAAGATATTATTCAAGAAGTATGATTCAGTGAGATTTGTTTAGAGAGACAAAACTAGAGGTGTTGAAGAATTCAGAAGATTAAGATTTGACAGAACACAAAGAATAAATGCACCGGCGCCATTGCGAACGATTTTGAGCCATGTCATTCAAGGTCTCTAACCATCGATTATTATCATCTCGCGGACCCTAACCATGTAGTCGACAACTACCGACATGACTGTCGACTTATTTGATTTTATATAAATTATATAAATTAACATTGATTAATAAGTTGTTGATCAGTAAAATGCCTTTTCATTGACTTCAAAGAATTAGGAAACATTTTTTTGATTGAACCAAACGAGAATAATTTTCAAAGTTTGTTAGTGGATCGAGTCGTGGTTGACAATGAACACCACTACAAACCATACTATGTTCCAGTCTTAACACATTCTACTATCGTATACTAAAAACAGGGATGCAGAGATAACTCAGATCAAGAAGTTTATTTGCTGGTGATTTCGTGGTACCGAAAGAACACCGAAATCATGCCAGAGAAAATCGGTGAAGTTACAGAGCACCATAAGCAAAATGTCAAGCAGAAAGTGTGCATGTACAGAAGTGCCATTAAATAAGAAGTTCAGTAAAACGATCACCGGTACCATTGATCATATTAATGAATGTTTCTATTCAACCAATCATGTTTTATTCGTAAAAGTACAGTCACTACAAATGTTAGTTAAGGCGATGGTGTAGTGAAGGAGAACACAGGTAAGGGCAACCGAATTGTATTTAACGAAAATTACAGAGTTAATCAGTAAAATAGGAAAACCATATCGTTAACGTACTTTAATTTGCAAATCTTCGATCAATCATCAATCCATTGTCTGACATTTCACCACTATTCATGCGTTTCATACAAATTCCATTGTTTTCTAACTCTTCCTTTCTTGATCTTCCCCCATCTTCTGCTGCCAGACATTACGTTGACACTCACGTCATATACTACTTATAAGTAGCTCGCACCACAATAGTTTTTATCATCACATCATTTTTTTATTAAATCTTTTAATTTAGTCAATTACAGGTATTGTCTGTGAACAATCCAATGCCTTCATTGATTCATTCAATATTCGATGTAACAGTGAAACAAGAAATCCAATTATAACTACACCCAATAGAATATTAAATTCATTGAATGATGGTGTTGCTTCTTCAACACCGACGACAACAACAAATCGATCTAGAGGTATAGCTGCACGATTGAAATTTCGTAATTCACGTCGATCAAAAAGTGCTCATGATAGAATACCAGAAGTAAGTTCAATGTGATTGAAATTTTTTTTAAAAAAAAATCCTTTTAATTTATGTGATTAAATTAGAAAAAAATTTTAAGTTATACAACTACACTCTCTCATCTCTTACACCTGTTACCCCCAATGGAGGGAGCATAGGCCGCCCACCAGTTTTCTCCAATCAACTCTGTCCTGGGCTTCCTTCTCTAGTTCTGTCCAATGTTTGTTCATTGCTCTCATATCTTTCTCTATTTCTCGGCGTAATGTGTTTTTATTGGCCTTCCTCTTTTCCTTTTGCCTTGAGGGTTCCATGTGAGGGCTTGTCTTGTGACGCAGTAAGGAGCTTTCCTCAATGTGTTTCCTATCCACTTCCACCGCTTCTTCCTGATTTCCTCCTTCACTGCAATCTGGCTTATTCTCTCCCACATTAAGTTATTGCTGATGGTGTCCGGCCAACGAATCTGAAGTATTTTGCGTAGACAACTGTTAACAAACACTTGTATCTTCTGGATGATGCCTTTCGAATTTCTCCGAATTTCCACTCCATACAGTAGAACTGTCTTGACATTTGTATTGAAAATCCTGATTTTGGTTTTGGTTGAAATTTGTTTGAAGTTCCAGATATTTTTCAACTGTATAAACGCAGCCCTTGCTTTGCCAATCCGCGATCTCACATCTGCATCAGATCCACCTTGATTGTCGATGATGCTGCCCAGATATGTAAAGGTGTTAACGTCCTCCAAGGCATCTCCATCAAGAGTGATTTGGTTGGTGCATGTTGTGTTGCATCGGAGAATTTTGCTTTTTCCTTTATGTATGTTGAGACCTACTGCTGCAGAGGCTGCTGCTACACTAGTCGTCTTCTCTTGCATTTGTTGTTGCGCGTGCGATAGAAGAGCCAGGTCATCTGCGAAGTCCAGTTCGTCCAGCTGCATCCTAGCTGTCCATTGGATATCGTGATTCCTTCCAGATGTCGATGACCAGGAGAAAGAGAAATGGTGAGAGTAAGCAACCTTGCCTGACACCGGTCTTCACCTCGAAAGAGAGGCTTCTTTGAAACTAAGGCGTGCCTGAGAATTCTTATAATGGACTAAATTGCTGGGTCGTGAATGGAAGACAGCTCACCGGCTTGTTCTAGGTGAAGACCGGTGTGAAGGCACGGTTTCTTACTCTCACCTTTCCTCTTTCTCCTGATGATCGACTGGATTATGCAGACGTTAACATCTAGGAGGAAGCACAGAGAAGAATGTACAGTTAGGATGCAACTGGACGATCAGGACTTCACAGATGATCTGGCTCTTCTATCGAACACACAACAACAAATGCAAGAGAAGACATATTCGTCTTCTGAACTGTATACACCATTGGTCGTTATTTAGTAATGGCTATCAGGAGGAGCAGTATACAAAGGTCAACAATATATGTCGAATATCTACCGCCATGATGGAATTTTTCAACACAACTAAAGTCTTGATTTAAAAACATATAAAACTATGATTTTTAATCGACTTAAACATTTACTAAATAGATATTTATCTCTATTGAATGTAAACTTGAAATTAAAAAATTTATTAAATCGACTACAATTTATATTGTGCAAAATATACTACTTATACACCATAACTGTTATTGAATTACATAATATTATTCCTATTCTGTCTCGTTTTATTCGAACAGTTCAGGTTTGAATGATTAGATTTGATGTTAAATTCGGTAATTTGATACTAGGTGGATTGTTTGTTTTACTGAATTCTAGAAAAATTATGTTCATTTAAAATGGGTCCTGATGTAAGTGAATAATTTTTTTGTACATAGCATGAAAACAAGTGAACCTTTTTCAAGATAACTATTCAAATGAGACATTTAGAAAAACACAAATTAAAACAAAGTTATTCACGTCTATTTTTATGTTTACTCAATTACTTACTTACTTACTTATTTACAGCTGTTATCCTTAATGGATCATAGACGACCGATTATCCAAATATTTTCTGGTTCGCGTTTTTTTTAGCGAGTTAGTTTTTCGTGGGATGAGGTAGTCAACCCCATGCACAACCCTCTTTCTTTATATGGGATTGGGTCCGTCAGTAGCCCCAGAGGTACTCCAGGCTCCAACTATCAACCAACACAAAAGTCGCAAGAGAAGACGACCAGTGTAGCAGCAGCCTCTGCAGCAGCAGGTCTCAACATACATAAAGGAAAAAGCAAAATTCTCCGATGAAACACAACATGCACCAACCAAATCACTCTTGATGGAGATTCTTTGGAGGACATTAACACCTTTACATATCTAGGCAGCATCATCGATAATCAAGGTGGATTCGATGCAGATATGATGGCGCAGATCGGCAAAGCAAAGGCTGCATTAGTACAATCGGAAAATATCTAGAACTCAAAAAATATCAATCAACACCAAAATCAGGATTTTCAATACAAATATGAAGACAGTTCTACTGTATGGAGTGGAAATTCGGAGAACTACGAAAGGCATCATCCAGAAGATACAATTATTCATTAGCAGTTGTCTACGCAAAATATTTCGGATTCGTTGGCCAGACAATATCAGCAACAACGTACTGTTGCAGAGAGCAAACCAGATTTCAGCAGAAGAGAATATCAGTAAGAAGCTGTGGAAGTGGATAGGACGCGCACTGCAAAAAGTATCCAACTGCGTCACAAGATAAGCTTTCACATGGAACCCTCAAGGTGAAAGGAAAAGAGGAAGACCAAAGAATACATTACGCCAAGAAATAGAGAAAGATATGAGAAGAATGAACAAAATTTTGACAGAACTAGAGAGGGAAGCCCAGGACAGAGTTGGTTAGAGAATACTTGTCGGCGACCTATGCTCCATTATAGGTAACAGGCATAAGTGTGTAATTACGGTTTTTGTCACATGTTGATGTTCTACAGCATGGGGTGGTTGACCCGATGCCTAACTTCTACTCATGTATTCGGGCTTGGGACCAGCAATAACCCGTTGAAGGGGTTCAGATGAAGTTATTTAGATTTGCTGAATGGCGAGAAAATTATTCAGACTTTAATCTGTCTTGTTGAGCTAATCAGTGTTTTCGTTACATATTTTTCATAAATTAATTTTTGAAAAACTGAAACATGACATCATTCAGTAATACAAAAATATTTTCTAAATGTTAAGGTTGATTATCACGTTGACATGGTTAGTTAATCACAAGTCACAAGTCACAACAAACCATGCATAGTTTTAACACATAAATTAATCGAGTAAAACATCTTTATTGGTTAATGATAAATAAAGTCGAATACTTCAAAACATTTTATTAGAATTCATATTCAAATGTTAGTTTGGTTTGTATGGAACTATTAAACGTTCTGTTTATAGAAAACTAACCTAGACTGGACAGTATCTGAATTTCAACAAGTTTTTTCCACTGCAATTGTTAGGATATTCACTAATTATCCTAAGAGTACTATTTTTAGAAGTACCATCCTATTGGTCGATTTCTATTGGTCAAAATTATGGTCGTTCTAACTGTCAAAGTCAAATACTTCAATGTTGTCTCTTATTGGTCATCTGGACAGTCAATGTCATTTCAAATGTTCTTTTCTATTGGTCGTCCTAAACTATCAATGTCACAGACGTTGATACTTTTTCTTATTCAGCCTTAATGTATAAATAAGCACTATCTGAAAGACTTAATTATTACGTTTCTCCTGCCTACCTCTCTTCTGCATTCGACTCAATAAACAACTCCATCCCACGGTGTTGCGTTCTGTTATCTAGGAGATTCGGAAATAGCATTTTGGGTCGTATTGAGATATTTGAATTGGACGCCGCCAGGACTGAATAGCTATACGTAGCAGCGTTACAACAGCAATATAAACGCGGTTTGGTAAAATGGCTCTTCAATAGGGCACAAAGGATTTGCACCATGGATACGTTTGACGACGATGAAAAATTCTTAATTGAAGCATTGATTTCAAATGGCTATCCGCTAAAGTTCATCAATAGGTGTAGAAAGAAGTTAAGACAAAAGCCAGTTTTTCATTCTGCTGCGAAGAAAAAGGTTCATATCACCTTACACATTTGAAATCCTCAACCACCACCAGAAACCAGCAAGCATTGGACGGCCGTTTCGTCCTGGTATGGGACTCAACAGTAGCAGTGCGCAGCCAATAGTGGTCTAACAATGATCGATTGATGATTTCAAATGTGTAAAAAACACATATCTCCAAAACTCTTACTGAAAATTATATCACTTTACCATTTAGAGGTGAAGCAAATAGTCTAATCTTAAGACAGAGACTAAAAGCAGTCATAGAGAAAACATACAACGCTGCTAAACTGATTATCATTGAAAAGACCAAGTCCAGGATTTCACATATACCTAAACGTTGCTCAAATGATTACATCACATCCCATTGCATTTATTAATTTACATGTTTGTGTAGATACACTATACATAGGGAGAAGTAATCGGACTTTACAATCAGGGGTTATGGAACATGTTCCTAAGTGGCTTCAAAATCAATTCACGTCAGATTAGCGTTGGAAATAGAAAACCATGTTCATCGATCGCAAAACACATAATTGAGACAGGGCATAAGAATGACATTAAGACAGCCTTCAAAACATTGTATAGAAATGTTGAAGTATGAATTTTGAGGTTTATGGAGGTCTTGGCTATTCGAAAATTAAACCCCCCCCCTTATGTGTGCAGAAACACTTTGTCATAACCTTGAATTTACCCTTTCTTATTCTTTTCATATTACATTAATTTTCTCTCTCTCCTTTATTTACGATTATCACTTTATGTCTCTGTTTGAACTTTTTATTTCATTGACCTTTTATTCATCATCATATAAAATGCCTTGACAAGTAAATATGTGTGATCAGATTGTTCGAAATGTATCAGGCACAAATACATCACAACATTTTTCAGATCAATTACATCTTCTCACTGTTCTATCAAAATTACAGCTGCATTCGTTGAGTGTGAAATTTTATTTATATAAATTAACCCTCTATTTTCAAGGGCAATTTTACATTGGTTTTCAGGAGAACCAAGGAGACTGCTTGCGTGTTGCCATTTCTACATCAACAGTTTGGCTCAGTGCTGTGGTGCAACCACACAGGTGCCCGATACCCTGGTGGACCATTGCGTGTGAGATATAGGGGCTATATCATTTGCCAAAGTCTAAATCGCCCACCTGCATCCTAGTAGTCCATTGCATCCAATGCATCCTTTCAGATGTTGACGTTTTCATAATCCAGCCGATCAATAGGAGAAAGAGAAAGGGTGATCGTAAGCAACCTTGCCTACATTAGTACATCTATAGTGATTATTTCCGATCCATGATTGTGTCAATTAATACGCACAGGATGAATAGGCTAATTTGACCCATTCCGCTAACATGACTGTCAAACTCATTATTATTGATAGCATTAGTGATATGCAAAATATAACACACTGTTGATAATGGCCCTCGGGAACCACCAGTATCGATGAAAATGCCCCCCTGCTAACTAAATTTGTAGATGGACTATTCGCGATACTTTCCAAACTAAATGCCAAACCATCCTCACAATGTTAATCATAACCAACCTCTGATCTCAGAGGAAACATTCACTTCTATCTATAGCAATATAGCTTATGGCATATACATTGTATAGCATAGGATAGCAAGAGATTTAGCTCAGATTGATTCGGATGGGCTGAAACACACTGTTATCACCCTTTGTTTCATGTCGGATAATGTGATTTATTTCGCATTAGCGAAATTTTCCTTTTTCGACCAAATGAGTGAAACCTGAGTTAGAGGTAGTAGTATCTCTTCATAGATATTCTTGTGAACATATATTTTCTCTTTTCAATTTCTATACTTAGTTTCAATAAATAAATCAATTATGTTTAATTATCTTCATTCATTTATTTCTTAATAAATTCAATTATATAATAATTCTGTAAAATTCCCAGCTACATTCTTTATTTTATTATATCGTCAAAATTCCTTCTTTCTTTCTGTGTGCATTGATATAAGATATTGTGAGTTATATGTGGTTATGTTAAATTACAGTATACCATTTGTTTTCACAATATATACATTTCTTTCCATATTGCATTTGTCTTATTAAATAATCCGAGGTTTAATGATTCAATAGTTATTTTATATATATATTCAATGTGTTCAATGATCAGTTGTTTTATTTAAACAAGTAATTAAAATATGGATTCCATAATAACAGCTGTCTGTTTAAAAATTACATTTTTATGCAACAGGTGTGTTCAAATATTCATCGTAGGAAAAAAACAAGGAAAGCCCGAATTGTCTAGACATGTGTGTATGTGTGTGTTTGTCTTTTTTTAAAATTCATAATTTTTAACCAATAGGAAACGAGTATAATCTTTTTTTTTAAATGTGCTTTTAAATCGTAATTTAACCACCAATAGGAAATGAGCATACAATTTAAAGAAATTTTTTTTTTAAAATTCTACATGTGTACTTTTTAATTATACTATTTAACCAATGAATATGAAATTTTAAGAAGAATTTTTGTTTTAAATCTTATCATATTCAATGGGTTTTGAAGAAAAAGGAATGAGATTTTGAGATTTGATCTATTTATCGTTGTAATTTAGAAAGGATATGATAACATGTATATTCTATTCAGAAAATTCTTTTGACTATCTTAAAAGTCAATTACATACAGAGGTTAAAAATTCTGGCGTGATTCACTGTTCATTTTCAACAAATTTATACTCGGTCTACTTAAAATCTTTAGTTTAATCATGATTTACTTACTTACTGATTCACGCTTGTTACTACTCACTGACCAGCATTCTCCAACCTATCCAGTCCTGAACCTTCCTTTCCAGTTCTACCCAGTTGCTGTGTATTTTGTTCGTATCGGCTTTCGATTCTCGACGTAATGTGTGCCTTATTCGCCCTTTTTTCCTTTGGATTCGAGGATTCCAAGTGAGAACTTGTCTTGTAAAGCAGATGGATGCTTTCCACAGTGTTTGTTCTATCCACATCTAGTGCTGTTTTCTAACTCCTTGTTCAGTAGGTTGTTGATGATGGTGTCTAATGAACGGGTCAGCAGTTATCTTGAGTAGACAATTGTTTTTTAAACACTTATATGTTTTGAATAATAGCTTTTGTATTTCTATACGTTTCCACATCATACGGTAGAACTGTCTTGTTATTTGTATTGAAAATTGTGACTTTAATGTTGAACAGCGCAGTTTAACCCTGTCGGGTGTGGGCAGTAACTGGCGAAGACAAATGGGTGAGGACACACAAAATCCCTAGATTGATCAGAGTTATAAAATAACACCGCTGAATGCCAACTTAGTGGTCCGGAGGTTCGGCGTTCACGCACAAGGCCGAAGGTCCTAGGTTCGAATCCTGCGAGGTGCTGGAGTAGTGGATGCGTACTGCCACTAATGAGTCCCATAATACTCTAATAAAAATGAAAAATGTGCTCATTGTCGACTAGGTTCGTGAGGAAATTCTCGGAGTTCTAGTGAGAAATCATGACCAATGGAGTTCAACCCTGTCAGGCGTAGGCAGTACCTTCCGAAGGCAATGGGTGAAGTTGCACGAAATCCTTAGATGGACGAAAGTTAGACAATAATACAATTAGATACTGACTCAGTGACCCAGAGGTTAGGAGTTTGTGCCCCGGGCTCGAATCACACGAGTGGCTAAAGTTAGGGATGCTCACTGCAACTGTTAAGTCCCATAGCGGGATGAAACGGCCGTCTAGTGACTCCAAGTTTCTAATGGTGGTTTAACATTGATTGATTCATGATTTGAATACTACGATAAACCTACTGATATAAAATTCAACAGTTAGTATTTCATTGTTAGGATACTCATCCAATATCCTAAGAGAATTATTGGTCAATTCCTATTGTTTAATTCCTACTGGTCAGTTTTATGGTCGTCCTAGATGATATCAATGTCACAGACTTCGATGTTGTTTCCTATTCGACCTAAATGTATAAATACGCATGATCAGTAACGTTTTATGACCAGGACCAGGACCCAGTCCCGGATCCCTTAGTCCGAGATCCTGATTCTCTTCTGGACTCAGACCTCGTACTTTCTAGATGCTTGTAAAATACAGGTTCTACTTCATATCAAATCTGCTTCTTTTACTCAATATGGGAGTTGAGATAATCGGATTAGAGTAGCATGTCGTGTCGCCGAATCCTCGATCTTCGCTCTCGTTTTCCAACTAAGGTAAACTCGTAATAATAGTTCAAGCATATCAAAATGACGTGTTTTAGGTGCAGGCGTAACAAACATTATTGAATAATCTCTCCATTCTAACCAATATTCACTCACTAACTTCCTCCTATTAAAATATCATTCTTTACATTTTCTTTGACTTATAGTCTCCACAAAGATCATTACATATACGAAATAAAACTGACATATCACCTAGTCGACGTAATTCCATTACAGCTAATCTAACCGATGATAATTTAGAATCGAAAAAATCATGGAAATGGTGGCGATTTCACAAAGATAATGAGTTATCACACAACAATAATAATAATAATAATAATCACATACATCGTCGTCAATCTATAGGATTCATTCCTGAAAATCAATATTTACGTGGTGGCAGTCTACCACCCACTGATAATAATAGTAATAATAATAATACCAAAATGGAAATGAAGTCGCCATTAGAAAGTCAAAATGTACACATGAGAAAATCAATACAATCCGATGATTGTTTGAATGTGTTCAATGTTCAACAACCACAACAACCAAACATTGATGAATGTAATCCATTCATTAATAATCATAGTCATGTCAATGTCCTCCACCATCTTCCTCATCATCATCAGCCTCTGCAGCAACATCAGTCTTTTCGTCAGAATCAATTGAAACCAGCTCATCATCATCATCATCACCACTACCACCCACAACAACAACACCATCTACAATCAAATGGTAATATTGTTCACAATGAATCACAAAATAAAACTCAACTGTCTAAATGTGTAGCTGCTAATGATTTACAACGAATTCATTGTCATCATCAGAGAGTACGTCATTTTAGTGGAAACCAGGTGAATGAGGTAAGTGAATGTGTCATGAAAAAAAAATGTTTATAAAGGGTTTCTTTGTGTTGGCCGATTTACTTGCGTGTGCCTAATCTTTGTGATTAGTTAGTTCGTCTAGACAATCGTTATTAAATAGCGTTTGATGGTTTATATAAATTAGAAGGTGAACACAAAGTGTTGAATATGTTTATTTTTGACACACCATAAATAGAACAGCAGACTACAAGCGCTATAAGATAAAATTGTCATGCGAGCGCCGGAAAGTAAGTAAGTAAGGGAGTGAATAGGTGAATGAACGGATGAAGTGATGTGGAGAAGGCTAGTGAGCCAACTCCAAGAGATAGTCAGACACAAATAAGACAGACATGTGATCAACGAGATAGGCATGCACGTACATGAATAAAAGCGACGAATGAGTGACAAGGTAAAAAGACAAGTGGAACACGTCACGTGGACTCATACAAACCAGACAATAATAAGAACGAATGGTACACATAAGTTGTGGCTACGCAAATGGCTCGGTTAAATACATTAATCGAAAGGGCTTAACCAAGTTAGATGTAAGCGAACTCGAATATATATGTGGAGGCACTACATCTTATATATATATATATATATATATATATATATATATACAATGAAATTCGAGATATGTATACTTGGAAGGAATTTTTCAATGAATAACATTGTAAAACTGTCATATTTGTTTAACATGAATTGTTATACTGATTGATATGATAATTTTCTGTTAAATCTATGTTACTAAATGAGATGTACTTCCTAAGAATGGTTGAATCATATATTAGTCGAAGTGGGTCATTCTATATAGTCAGTTATTTGTTCTCCTTGTGTTTTTTTACTGGTATAATGGCGAATGTCACTTCGCGGCTGCCCATACCGTGGAAGAGTACTTTTTGAGGAAGAAGAATAAGAAATCGAATTAGCATTGGTCTCAGTGACCTGACAGCGTGACTGCAGAGTCTAAGAGACAATTGCTTAAGGCCGGTCACACATGGCCTTTTTATAGGAAGTTTTTAAAGTGGTTACTCCGCACTTCAAATAGCTTTAATGATTACGCGTATCATAGAATTTCAGAACTAACGAAATACATACAACCTCTTCCCTTATTCGGGGTCAACCTCTGGTTCATTTAATCAATAGTTATCATCCACTTTGACTAATGTACTGTACATACAACCATTCTTGATCAAATGTACCTGTATTTGTTATATTATTATTATTAGTGGTGACACATCACTAATAATCTGTTTAACATATGATCAATTTGTTCTGCTCGTCACTAAATGTACTTGAAACTGTTACGGGTTCACCTTAGTCGAATAACGAGAACAAAACAATGAACCAGCGTCAAGGTAGACTACTCTGATCCGTTGACCCATAGGAACTAACGGAAAAGTCTTGATTTAGTCTAGAAAGTATATTCTACAAACACCCAACAAGCACAATCCATTCAAGTACACAAATAGCGTTTATTTATACACCATAGAGACGTCCTTGGGAGAGTCACAAAAATAGCACACTAAAATAACACAGTAACCAATTACAGCCAAGGATTTTCCTGGTAGGAAATGTGATCTCAAGGTCAATTGATCAGTCCATGAATAAAATCCAAAATAAAGGCATTTATCAAGCGGCTGCTGGGGATCTAACATCCCCAGCACAATCTATTTAGCATTCACTCCAGTTTCATATTGCCTATTAGATTTATCTAACATTATTCACTAAAAAACGGTCACTTGAATTTCATAACTACATGGGTTATTTCTATTACGGGGTTGTGAAGATTGTTCAGTTACACATTTTTGAAACCCTGAATCGATCAATGTTAGACCACTCTATTAGAAACCTGGAAGCACTGAAAGACGGCCGTTTCGTCCTGGTATGGGACTCCTCAGCAGTGCGCATCCTACAATACCGAAGGTCCTGGGTTCGAATCCTGCGAGTAGCAGGAGTCGTGGATGCGTACTGCAGAGGAATCCCATAACAAGGACGAAACGGCCGTCTTTCAGTGCTTCCAGGATTCTAATGGAGTGGTCTAACATTGATCGATTCATGGTTTCAAAAATGTACATGATTATTTCTCTCATTCTATCTACCCCATATATTCATATATTTTCTGTTTATTCATGACATAATTATCATTGAACTTATTCACTTGAACAATGTAGATTAATCATTTCAACATAAACAATTTTATTTTTATCTTGCGACTAATTCAAACTTCATTCTATGTAAAATTCACAATATTATAGATACGAATATCAAGTCAATTAAACTTGTAGTTAGATTGTAACTTTGTCAATGGAATTTTAATTGTTAACAATGGGATATTAGTTAGGTCTTAGTGATTAATTCAGTCAGTCAGTCAGGTGCAACGTAGAACTTCGTACGTAAGTACGTACATCAGTTCATGTTGCCATACCACATTAGCACACAGAGATGTAATTGTCAATTCAAATCCAATAGTAGTAGAGGCAGTAAGCATATTAGCAGTAATCGGAGAGGTTAGGATTAGAAGATATTATTCAAGAAGTATAATTCAGTGAGAAAAGTTTAGAGAGTCGAAACTAGAGGTGTTGAAGAATCCAGAAGATTAGGGTTTGAAAGAACACAAAGAATGAATGCACCTGCGCCATTGCGAACGATTTTGAGCCATGTCATTCAGGGTCTCAAACCATCGATTACTATCATCTCGCGGACCCCAACCAGGTAGTCGACACATACCAACATGACTCAGTCCACTTGTCAGTGACTTCACGGATTTCTGCCATGTTTTGGTCTGGCCGCCCCTAGGTTTCTTCCAATGCACTCCTACATCACAAAACATAGCTCGTCGAGGCAATCGGTGGTTAGGCATACGCAACACATGTCCCAACCACCTCAACTGATGAAGTGTCACTACTGCGTCTATTGATCTGCCATTCTTACCTAGCACCCGCTTCCTTACTCGGTTGTTCCACGATATACGAGCAATGCTTCGACGACACCTATGATTAATTATTATTTTTATTACAGAGGTTGTAAAGATTGTTGAGTTACTTTGCTGAAACCATGAATCAATCAACGTTTGACTATCATTAGAAACCTGAAAGTACTGGACAGCCGTTTGGTCATGGTTTGGCACTCAGCAGCAAAGCGCGTCTACGACTACCAAACACTAGAATCAAACGAAGACTCTTTGGTCTTTCGTGCTAATGCTTAACTTTTAAACCACTGAGCCATCCGGTATCCAACGATGTTAGTGTCTAACATTGATCAACCTAAGATTTCGCACAATATTATACGTTAAATTTTGAGGTTGGGACATGTGTTGCGTATGTCTAAGCACCGAATGCCTCGTCGAGTGATGTGTTTTGGTGTAGGAGTAGGTTTAGAGAAATTTAAGGGCGGCCATACCAAGGCATGGAAGAAATCCGTGATGTCACTGATAACTGGATTGAGTCATGTTGGTAGGTGTCGATTACCTACCTACCTGGTTAGAGTCCGCGAGATGATTGTAATCCATGGTTAGAGACACTGAATGACATGGCTCAAAGTCGTTTGCAATAGTGCAGGTGCATTCATTCTCTATGTTTTCTGAAATCCTAACTTTCGGAGTTCCTCATTTCACTAGATTCTACGTCTTCAATAATATCGTCAAACCCCTAATCCTTCCAATTACAGCTAATACTTCTACAACCTCTACTCCTATGGGATTTCAATTGATAATTGCGTTTCTGTGCTAATGTGCTATGGCAATTTGAATTGATGTACATACTTAAGCAGTTCTACGTTGTTGTTGACCGACTGACTGATATGTCAAAATTCATTTCATGAAGTGTATTGAGGCAAAATGATCTCCAAAAATATGATAACATTTTTTTACATGACACCAATTTATCAATAAAAACTGAATATCACATTTTTAAAAATAAATTCATACTGATCGATTCATGATTTCAGTGAGTAACTTAACAATCTTTACAACTACATAACGCAACCTGTGATCACTAGTGACTAGCTCCGTGAGGAATCTTTTCCGAGTTTCAGTGAGAAGTTGCGACCAGTGGAATTCAACCCTGTTCGGGTGTAAGCAGTGTATGAGGTTGTGCAAGACTGTGGATTGATCGGAGTTAGACGTTAACACTGTTAGATACTGGTCTAGTGATCTAGAGCTTAGGTCTCCGCGCGCAAGACTGAAAGTCCTGGCTTCGAATCCTGCGATATGTAGGAATCGTGTGTGCGGACTGCTGATGAATCCTATACCAGGACGAAACCGCCGTTAACTGCTACCAGGTTTCTAGTGGTCGTCCAACATTGATCGATTCATGATTTCAATGAACAACTTGACAATCTTCACAAGCCCGTAATGCATATTACAAATGACTTAACTACATTTAAACAAATGTTGTTATTCAATTTTTAAACCTCTTCTGACAACATTATATTTTCACTAGACGGTGTTGGAGATTGTTTTTTTTCATAGAAGTCATGAATGATGAGTCCCGTACAAGGACAAAATGGCTATTTAGTACTTTCAGGTCTCTAATGTTGGTCTAACATTGGCCAGTTCATTATTTCTATGAAAATACATCATATCTATAATCTGTTAGTATAAGAATCCGCTATTAGAAACTCGAAAGCAGTGAACAGCAGTTTCGCCCTAGTATCGGTCACCTAGTATCGATAGACACCGATGGTTAGAAACCTTAAACGACATGGCTCAGAATCGTTTGTAATGGCGCAGGTGCATCCACTCTTTCTGTTCTCTCTATAATTATAACCTGAAATTCTCATCATCTCTATCTTTCTCCCTCTAAATTTATCTCACTGAATTATACTTCTCGAATCAAATCTTCACTCCCTAATCTTCTCCATTACTACTAATACTTCTATTATTGCTATCACTCTTGGATTTGAACTTTGAGTTGCGTCTCAGTGCTGATGTAGTATGGCAACCTGAACTGATGTACTTATGTACAAAGTTCTGCGTTGTATCTGTCTATCTGTCTGTTCCTAGTTTCGGACTCATCAGTCGCAGTGCTCATCCACAACTCCCACTACTAACAAGAATCGAACCCACTACCTTCAGTCTTTCGAATTAAGGCTTAAACTTTGGATCACTGTGTGTAGGAAGGATTTGATTTCGACCAATTCGGTCTCGTGTGCTGTTATGAGGATGAGGGCGGTTGTCACTTCCCGGCTGCCCACACCGTGGAAGGTTGTTTCTTGAGGGACCTGAAAAGGAAGATAGATTAGTGTTGGTCTTGAAGACCTGGGAGCGTGACCGCAGAGTCCAAGGGACAACTGCTTAAGGCCGGTCACGCACTGCCTTTTTATGAAAGGTTTTTTGAGGATTAGCTCCGTTCTTAAAGGCCCTTAATGGGCACCCTTACCGATGGAGACGGAAATCCATGAGGTAGAGTAGGTGTGACATTTTTAGGGTCGACCTTTTCTAACCCTTCCTTCCTTGTGAGAAGGCAGTAGCATCGCTGCAGATGCTGGTTGTCCGAGGGAAACACCTTACTGCTGTCATACCCCTCTACAGTCAGCAGTACGACTTCGCCCTCAGACCATGAGTAGCTACTTTTAGTCTTATCGTTCTCCAATCGACCTGCCTGGCATGGTAGGACCTGCAGGAACATATGTTCCAGCCAGTATAGCTCGGTTGGGTCATCACGATAGGCAAGCCCGACCACCGCCACGTCAAGGTAGCAGCTACGGTCGGGGATCACTGAGATGTCTGGGATCTAACGGTAATAAAAATCATTCATGTTAAACATCCTGACTGTCATCGATAAGCACTGGCTCACATTCGAATGCAGTTGAACTTCACTAGTCACAACCTTGTTTTAATTAAAACATACTGAACCTAATGCATTCTACATGTAACTTAAACAATCATCTTACTTATTTTACTTAACAGCCTCTATTTTATAATCATCGATCAAATCAACTGGAACTTTGTGAATACACTACTCCACATATCATTGATTCATCCTATTGTCATATTCCATCTATCCAATACACTACTATTCAACAACAATCACAACCAACAACAACAACAGCAAATAAACTTTCACATAATCATCATCTATTCTATCTTTCACCAGTGTTATTATCATCTTCATCAACTGCTTCTTCTTCATCGTATACCACAGGGAATAAACAACACCACCAACAACAACAGACCAATCGAATTCAACCTACATCAAATGCTTATTTTTATTCATTACAACGTACTAATCGTTCATTATCTTATACAAAACAATATTCATTTGAAGCACCATCAAGTATTGCTATTGTGACAACTAGTATTATCCCTTCAAAAATTCTTACAACCAATATGATATCGACTTTACCGCCGTCCACTACTACTGTACCACCAATACCTCCAAGAGTAAATGGTCGTCGATCAATAGTTTTAAATAATCCTCATCACCAGCATCCTAAATGCATAGAACATACTATTATTCCATCAAGTCATATGAATAAAACATTACTTATGACTAAGCATCAATTACAATGTAATGATATTAATAATAATGGTATTACAATTAGTAGTAGTAGTAGTAGTAGTAGTACAATAGTTACATCTACCAATACTACTCATACTACTAATAATACTACTAATACTACTAACATGATGAATATATGTAAACCAACAGCTGAGACTATAATGAGTTTATTATCTTGTAATATGAATAATAATTTACAATGTTTTGATCGACAAAATCAACATTTTTATTTAAATTGTCTACATGATCATCAGCATGAACAATTAGAACAACAACAACAACAACAACAACAGAATTCTAGGAAAGTGAATATTTTATCAAATAACGCAGTTCATGTAAGTTTGAAATAAGAAAAACCTGTTAATTGCGTTTAATTGATACGTACCAGATTGTTTGCATGGTTAGCGTTTTTTTTCTTACTTAGATGAGATCACTAACATTTCCCCAATGTCCAACCCTCTTCCTTTATCCGGAATTAGAATTGACAGTAACACCAGAGTGTTAGTGGAACATAGATGGTGGAATTAAAGCATGACTACGTTGCTACGCGCTGATTGGCTAATTTCTTATCCAATCAGCGCCTGATCGATATTTTTGGAGAACAGAGTAGAAAATTCTCGTATTGTTAGCTGCGTGCTGATTGGTTAAATCTAATCCATTCGATCACGTGAATTACTACTATCCAGAAGCTTCTCATGATAATGCTATAAATAAACTAACGTTGTATCTATTTTTGGCCTTCGCCATCACCATTGGCTTCTTATTTCCATTTAACCTTGCTATTTGGAATATAATCTTTTCCTGTTCAACCGTTTTTTGATCCTTGGACCTTGTCCAGTGTATTGTGTGGTCAGAGAATACTAAGCAATAGGATTTAGCTGGGCATTATCAAAGCAAGCGTTACAACACAGAGAGACTCTGGGCAGAGTTAGATTGTTTGACTATGTTTGTTTACTTATGTCTACTACCTCTAATGAAGCATAAGCCAACACAACCAGCATTCTCCAACCTAGATTGCTCTTTGACATCCTTTTCATTTCTATCCATCTGTTGTTTATTCTTCTCATATCCATCCCCAATTCTCGATGTTATGTGTTTTTCGGTCCTTGAGGACTCCAGGTGAGAGTTTGTGTTAGGATATTTACCAAATATCCTAAGAGTACTACTATTTTTGGAAGTATAATCCTATTGGTCGATTTCTGTTGGTCAAAATTTTATGGTCGTTTTAACTGTCAAAGTCAAATACTTCTCTTATTGGTTATCTGGACTGTCAATGTCATTTCAAATGTTCTTTCTTATTGGTCATCCTAAACTGTCAATGTCACAGACTTCAATGTTGTTTCCTATTTGACCTAACTGTATAAATACGCACTATCTGTAAGACTTCATGATTCCGTTCCTTCTTGCCTATCTCTCTTCTGTACTCGTCCCAGTAAAAAACTCTGATATATAGGAGATTTGGGAATATTTTAATTCGGACGTCGGTAGGATTTGAATAGCTATGTAGCAGCATTATGACAGTCTGTCTTGTCACGCAGTTGGGTACTTTCTCTATTGTGTATCCTATCCACTTCCAGATTGTTTGAAAGTTTATGTTTTTACGAGTTAGTTTTCTACGAGATGCGATCGCTAACTCTTCCCATGTCTAACCCTCCTCCTTTATCCAGGATTAGGATCGACAGTAATCCCAGAGGGACTCCAGGCGGAGTTAGATTGTTTGACTTAGTTGTTTACTTATATCTACTACCTCTAGTGGAGCATAAGCCAACCACTAGCATTTTCCGACCTACATTGATCTTTGCCTTCCTTTTCACTTCTATCCATCTGTTGTTTATTCTTCTCAAATCTGTTGCGATTTCTTGGTGTAATATGTCTCATAGCCTTCCTCTTCTCCGTTAGACTTGGAGTGAAGGTTAGGTGCTTTCCTCAATATGTGTCCTATCCATTTCCACAGCTTCTTCATGATTTATTCCTCAGCCACAATCTAGTTTGTTCTGTTATAAATTGTTTGAATAGAGCTGCAAGGATGCAACCCAACGATATGGACTTTACACATGATCTGGTCCTCCTGTCGCATATGCCACAACAAATGCGAGAGAACCAGTGTAGCAGGAGGTCTCAACATACAAGATTCTTCGATGCAACACAATAAGCATTAACCAAATTAAACTTTATGAAGATGCCTTGGAGGATATAAAAACCTCCACATATCTAGTGGGTAGCATCATTGACAAGCGAGGTGGATTTGATGTAAATGTGAAGGCGCGGATCGGCAAAGTGAGGGTTGCATGTTTACAACTGGAGAACATCTTGAACTCAAAACAAATAGCAACAAACACCAAAGTCACGATTTTCAAAACAAATGTCAAGATAGTTCTACAATATGGGGTGGAAACTTGGAAAACTAGCTAAGCCATCATCTAGAAGATACAAGAAGGAAGTCTGAACATGCCCAGACCTCCTCCGTTATTCAGACTAGGGACCGACAGAAACCTTAGAAGGGCTCCAGGTGGAGTCGGATTCTCCCTTAGTGTTTCGAAACTACTTCTAAACTAATGAGTGAGTACTTCAAAGAAACTTCCAAATAGAAATGAATAGCGGTGTTATTTTATGCTTCTTCATTCTCAATGTTACTTCATTTAGTGTAAATTACTGTCGATTACTATTTTCAATGTTCATACCTGTTGATAAATAATATGTATGATTTTTAGCTTGACCTGTAATAAATGTATATACATATACAGCTAACTGACAAACTAACTGTTGTGCATGCACGTAAACACGTCATTTAGATATGCTTGAACTATTACGAGTTTGCCTTAGTCAGTGAACGAGAGTGAGGATCCGGCGACATGACAGGCTAATATAATCCAAGTGTCCCAAACCCCTATTGAGTAAAGTAAGAAGACTTGATATGAAGTAGAACATACATTCTACAAACATTGAGAATGTACTAGGTCCGAGTCCAGAAGAGAATCAGGATGCCGGACCAAGGACCCGGTCCGGGTCATAAAAGGTTACAGATAATGCGTAATTTATACTGTTAGGTAGAATAGGAACCAACATTGAAGTACGTGACATTGATAGTTAGGACGACCAATGGGAAACAACATTGAAGTATGTCACTGATAGAGTTCGTCACTTAGTATGCTTGAGGCTATTACGAGTTTACCTTAGTCGATAAACGCGAACGAGACAATGAACCAGCGTCCAGGTAGGCTACCTTGAATCCGAGGCTAAAGCAAAAAGGCTTTGTAAGCGTAGAAAGTATATTCTACAAACACCCAGAAATCACAGTACAATCAAGCATACAACTCTCGTTTATTTATACAACATAGGAACGTCCTTGAGACAGTTAAGAAAATAGCGCATTAAAATACACAGCAGCCAATCACAGCCATGGATTTTCCTGGGGTGGGGAATGAAATCTCAAAGTCAACTGATCAGCCAATGCTGGCAAACGTGAAAACCAAAATAATAAGGCATTTATCAAGCGAATTTTGGGGATCTAACATCCCCAACAGTCACATTGACAGTTAAGGCGACCAATAGGAATTAACCAATAGAAATTGACCAATAGGATTGGACTTACAAATAATCCTCTAAGGATATTTGTCCAATATCCTAACATTAAGAAATCATATCATATCGCCTTTTAAGATCAGTATGTAATATGCTGTGCTGTAATTCAAATTTTAGATAAAAAGATTAATCATTATTCTGTAATGAATAAAAAAAGGGGGAAATCAGTAAGATGTACAGTTTTCTTTCTTTTTTGTTTTAGTTGAAAAATTAACAAAAAATAGCTGGTGTACTGCATATTCAAAATGTTGATTTTTTTTTAATATTGACCTAGTTTTATTAGAATCATTGTAGTGATCTAGATTCTGATATTATAACCTTTTTTCAAATCGAATTCTGATTGTTTGTTAGAATATATGTATGTAAGTATTATTCGTGTATACTTCTATGTTGAGAGAGATAAAAAGAGGGATTATAAGTCTTTACAAAGTGATCGTATTGAGGTTATGCTTTGTTTCGTTGAACGGTTGAAAATGTGATATTTAATGAAGTAAGAGTATTCGGCGCATAGTGGTAGTCTAATTTTGATTGATTCATGATTTCAAATGTGTAACTTAATAATCTTCACAACCCCAATAATGCAATTACTTGTGCTTAGTAGTGACTAACTCTGTGAGGAATCTTCTCAGAATTCTAGTGGGAAGTCGTAACAAGTGAAGTTCAACCTGTTCGGGTGTAGACAGTGTATGAGGTTGCTCAACTCCGTGAACTCCGTTAGATACCGGCTCAGTCAGTCGTCCAGTGGTTATGCGTGTGTACGCAAGATCGAAGGTCTTGAGTTCAAATCTTGCGAGGTGCAGCGGTCGTGGACGCGTACTGCTGTTGAGTCGCGTACCAAGACGAAACGGCCGTATAGTGCTTCCATGTTTCTAATGATGGTCTAACTCTGATTGATTCATGATTTCAAATGTGTAACTTAATAATCTTTACAACCCTGTAATGAAATAGAAAGAAACAGAAACATTTTTGGCCGCTGTAATCTTTATTTTTAAAAGATCTAACAATGACTGATTCATTATGACAATGTAAAACAACAATCTCCAATCATAAAATGTGCTCACTAGTGACTAGCTTTATAAGGAAATTCTTGGAGTTCTAGTGAAAAGTCGTGAACAATAGAGTTCAACTGGGTTGAGTCTAGGATGTAACTATCGAAGACACTGGGTGACCAGAGATAGACATTAACACTGTTAGAAGCCGGCCATTTCAGTGGTCTAGTGGTCAAGTGTTCGTGTGAACGACTGAACGTCCTGGCTTCAATTGCAGCAAGCGTGGGTCATGGTTGGGCACTGATGATGTGTTAGTATATTCATCCAATATCCTAAGAGAATTATTTGTAAGCTCAATTCTATTGGTCAATTCCTATTGGACGTCCTAACAATCAATTTCACAGACTTCAATGTTGTTTCCTATTCGATCTAAGTGTACAAATATGCATCGTCTGTGGAGAAAGTGGACGGCCTCTTCAGCTTCGTTTACGTGAACACCAATTAGCAATCAAACGCCATGACATTTCTTCCCTGATATCAATACATACCGACAATTGTGGACACACATTCAATTGGAACAATGTGGAAATACTGGATAGGGGGAGGACAAAGAACACTACGGAATTTTTAGAAGCTTGGCACACTCAGGTCAATCAGCAATCAATAAACACATCGACACTGACCCAATTTATCAACCAATCAGAAAACTCGTAGGTGACATTGGATCAAGAAACAGATCAAAAGGGGAATACAATCAAAACAAA